AGTTTTGTAGTTTGCGTTTTGCTTATTCATACTACTGGTTTTCTTACCAAAGGGTAATGTAATAAAGTTAGCTAAAAAAGTTACTTTGGGGAAATCCCCTGTAAGATATGGTCAGCGGTAACATAGTTCGCCATGCGCACACAAGAACGTAGCAAGGACGTTAGAGGATCTAAAGTCATTACTGTAGGCCAAACTTGAGGTAAATTCCGGTTTTTTCTTACGTTCAGATTTGTAAGTCTTATGTTAAGAATATAACTTTCTCGTTGTAGAACCGTACAATAGCGTATAAACCATACAAAGGTCATAAACTGTACAAAGTCTTCAATGACGAGATGTCATGAGAGTCGTTACATGAATTAAATGAAAACTGAGTTACGCGTGTCTAAGTCTGGTCCCTACATCCCCAGCTCATCCAATAAACGATTTATTAACATTCAACAGTAATAACACAATAAAGTCAAATACCTTACGACAAAAAGCCCACGGTGCGGCCCTAAAACCTATCTAAATAATTGGTGCGCAGCCCTTGTGCGCTGATTAGTCTTGTCGTGTAGCTACAGAACGCGTTGCATCATAGGGCTAATTTAGGAGGGAAGAACCTACATAGCAATCAGTTGATGTAATGTCTTCAGAAAATCTATTGTATTCTCAGAGTTAACTCTGTATTCTATTGTCGTTCTATCTATTGTGTGACTCATTGTATTTTTATGAACACATTACATCAATTGCTTGATACGTAGTCTCTCCCAATTTTGGAGACGCTTTGATACTTGTAATTTTTTTTTCTCTTGCTGATAGTGAACAGCACAGTAAGGGCGTAGCCAGGCGGGAGGGGGACAAATCKAATCGAGGGAAACTTTTGGATATGCCCCTACAAAGTGTTAGGAAACTTTAATTATCCTGTTAATTCTCAAACTTCTTTGGTTTCTTAATAAAAAAATAAGAAAATAAAAAATAAATTGAAAATAAAAAAAACTAAAATATCCTTATATACCCCTCTTTTACTCCGAAGAAGGACTAGCGTCCGAAACGTCAGTAAGTTTTTTCATCTTTTCGCGGTGTAAAATTTACCATTTTATCATTACTGTTTCATTAGAAACACCGAAGCAGCTCATACTAGTTTTAGCTAGTTATTTCTTCTTAGCCCTTATGACACAACGAATTTCAAGAATTCGGGTCTTTACGTTTTTGTTGCCTTGAGTTACMAATGTGTGCATTTTAAGGCAAATAAGTCTTCTGCACCTGCTACAAATGAAATACTTAATCGTTCTGTTTTAACACGTTTACATGGCTTTAAAATATAGGTTTTCTATTTACTTTTTTAATTGGGAAAGAGGAGTCGTTATTTTTCTAAAGAAGGCACCTACCGCACATATTTGATAAAAAAAGAACAGTAACTATATATAAATACTAACAAAATGTCACAAATATGCAGTGGCTTTCAGCTTCGTTACTCAGAATTAAAGAGACATAAGCTAGGTCGCTCTCTAGTGGTCATTCAATATGTGATGGCAACTTATAAGTACAAGTGAACAAAAAACGAATCTTACAAGCTTTGCACCATCACGTGATGGCAGCCATGACAGTAGGCACAACAGACAGAGTCTATTCCCCCTGGGAAACTGAATTCTTTCTAATGTAAATCAGATTAGACCAGATTCAATTGTTCCTGCCCCCTGTCATGGCTGCCATCATGTGATGGTGCAAAGCCTCTATAGTAACACTGTGAACTTATTATTAAATCTTTCAAGTTTTAATAACCAGCCACACCCCAATCCCATATTGTAATGCGGTTGTTATCCTCAATAATGTCCCGGTTCAGTTCTATATTTCAAAAATAAAGACCTGTCCCGGCGACATTCAAATCAAACCATTACAAAATCCAAATCCATTGTTCCTTAATCACGGATCTGTGCAATTATCAACAATGGCATAACGTCGGGGCTGGTTATTAAACAAATGAACAATTCTTATGAGAAAGACCCATAAAACATTATTAGTTTATATAATGAACTTTGTTTTTGAACTCAATCTATCCAACTAGATAAAGCCGTGCGGTTTTCGATTATTTCATTGAATTATAGATACAAGAAAGCAATCTGCGGCTGGCCAAGGCGCCCTATAATCCAGAGAAAGACGCTTTGCGTGCGTTATTTTCGAATATACTTCTAGTGTGAAATGGCCAAAACTATACTTTTTAGATTAAATGACTGGCTCTGAATTTT